TTCTTGCAACTGTAACTATGGTAAACCTTCATTAAGCCAGAGAATCTTAATAAAGTCCTGTTGTTTGAGTCTAGTCTTAGACCTGAGATCGAACTGCTAGGGCAAACTCTATACATAATCCATAATTCCTGCTATGATAAAGCTACATTCATAAACAGTGGTTACAAGACAATTAAATAATGACCCCCAAACTGATCTTTTACTTCCCACCTAAATTATATTTCCCCCTTCCTCCAATTGCTAGATAATAGACTGACCGTCGTCCATTCAATATACACTGCTTAGTCTTTATCGCTAGACCCACTATCACCAGTTAATTTTTAATCATACTATCAAAAAGAATACTGTTATTCTTTTTATATTGACCAAATGTTACAGCCACCTTTATTGTCCACTGCATTCTTGTATCAAAATGAAATAAAAACAAAAGTGGTTACAAAAATGTATACAAAAATAATCATGAAGTAGACACCAAACATGCCTTATGCTGCAATATCCAGCAGATAAATGAAACACATTAAATCTACCTAAGCAAAGTATGCACGTGATTCATATCATATTTGATCTTTATCACATTATATAGTCTTTGTAAAAATGTAAATATTAGTTGTCAGGCTGAAAAACCTTGTCAGATGGAAAGATAGCTACATTATGAAAAAAACTGAATAACAGTATGTCTACTGAACATCAGAAAAGACTTCAGCTCCGTTTTAACACACTCTTCAGATCCTTGGACTGTATTCGTGCTGGGAATTATAGAATACTAGGATTGGTAATCCTTATTCTGTAAACACGTTCTTCAGGGACCATAAAAGGTGACTGCTTGGCAACTTAGCATCTCTGGATACCATCAAAACTTTAATGTAAGTACTTGTCATTTTTAATCCAATTTACTTTATGCTGCCTATTGTCTATTGTGTAACATGTTTCTGGTAACTAACAGCTGACTCTCTATATGCTCTAACCAGAATTTAAAGAAAGCCTTTTTGAAGAAGGTTACCATATGTAAAGTAGAACGATAGGGAAACTTTTTTTTTTCATTTGGAGTAGAGTAAGGGAGGGTTAAAATCCCTGTTAGATTATTTTTTTTCATCATCTGCCTCCCATTGTGGAGATTTCCCTTAACTTCCTGTCCTATAGCTTAACAGGAAGTGAGAGGAAATCCTTGCAAATTAGGGGAACTCCTTGGGGACCCCCAGGTCACCAGAACTAGTGTCCCCATTGGAAGATTTCCCCTCTATTACTTTTCTGGGGACAACCCAAAATTTGGGTTTTTCTTTTACTTTAAATTTGAATAATAAGGGTAAACATGACAAGTAGAGATGGTGAATCTCCTTAATGGGGGTCAGACAGCAATAATAACTGACAGGCTGTCAGGGATCTCGGGTTTCTCCACGGCGCACGGGTCTGCGCATGCGCGGAAGTCTAATACGAACGAACATACGGCACTAGGACATAGGCGCCCGCAACAACAATCGCGGCCGCATGCGCATGCGCACACGGGCGTGCGCCTGGCACCAATGACAGCGCAGGGCGCACTATTTAAACCGACTCTTGCATGCTCAAGTTGCCGTATGGTCTTGTTCCTGCTTGTCCCTGTTATCCTGTGAGAGTATCCTGTTGCCGACCCAGCCTGACCCTGATTGCTGTTGATTGTCTCCTGCCCTGACCCCTGGCTGTCCGACTATTCTTCTGCATGTTCCTGATTATCTGACCTCCTGCTGCTGAACCTGGCCTGTGACCTGACCATTCTCTGCCTGCTGCTCTGTACTGTTCCGCCTCCACTGTTACCGACCCGGCCTGTCTGACTTCCCTACTGCTTCACGGTGTGTTCTGTCCATCCATCCGTTGCTGTCTGGGCCTGCTCTGCCTCTTTACATCAGGCTCTCATCCTGCTATGTACCATTGGCGGTTCCTTCTACTGCAGCTGGGTGTACCCAGGGGCCGCGACCGGGTCTCAGTCTGCTCCAAGTCCATCCCCACCATCAGGGGCTCTGGTGAACAAGCAGATTGGAGCTTAGACTCCGCGCCCTGGGAAAATCCGGTCTGTGGAGCTCTAGAGTTACCGTCAGTAGGTACCTGACACAGGCATTCCTAATCCCTCTGCACTACATCTAAAACTAAAAAAGGTTTTGCCTTTAGTTACACTTTAAAACTCTGTTACTTTCCTGTCTGCCTGGGCATGGTAGTGATTGTCACAGGTATTTCCTAAAGGCCAGGAGGAGTGAATAGAAAGGGGGGGAGATAAAGGAGTCTAAACTGCTCCAGAGTGTCCACAGAACACAGTGTCAGTGCCAAGGGCCATCAGATTGTACTGTGCTGCACTGCCTGGACATCTAGCCAGTGCTTGTTAGGAAGACAGTTCCCCACTGCTCATCCCTCACACAACTCGCTTCAGCTGACAGCAGCACTGTACTGAGCTGCCTGAGGAACACACTGCCACCCCAGCTCCCCAGAGCTGCCAGATAATAGCACAGCCACTTTACATGTGGACATATAGGAAATAGGTGGGACCTGCTGGGTTGAGTCACACATTGTATACTGTCAGCAGATAAGTAGAAAAACATCCCCAAGTTGCAGCATTAAAAGATTCTGGTGAGCTGTACAGAGATATGTGAAGGTGGATGTGTTGGGGCAGTCACACAGGGGAACAAAAAGTTATGACTGTCAGAATACACTGATCAGCGGCTGCAGTAGCAGAAAAGTAAAAAAAAAATTTAAATTCCAACTTGCCTGTTCTGCTGAACTGGATGAATTTCTATTTATTACAGGTACTTCTATATCGCCAGTCAATTTACACAGTGATTTACATATATATTGTGCATTCATATCAGTCCCTCAAGGAGCGTACAATCTAGGGTCCCTAACTCACATTCATACATACACATACTAGGGCCAAGTTAGGATTCAGGATCCAATTACCCTACCAGCATGTCTTTGGAGTGTGGAAGGAAACCGGAGTACCCGGAGGAAACCCACGCAGGCACAGGTAGATGGTGCCATGGTTGAGATTCGAACCAACGACCCTAGTGCTGCCAAGTGGAAGTGCTAACCATTTAGCCACTGTGCTGCCCCTGTTATATCAGAGCATGGCCAGCTTTAGATTGTTGTCCCACAAACTGCACAATCTCTATGCAGAGCTCTAAACTGAAGGCTTTTACTGGAAGGAAAGATTTGGGGAATCTCTAATCAAAACTGAGATTATTTTGGAGGAGTTGAAGATACATACAAGCACCTTTGGGTGCCTGATTTTTAAATAATCATATTATTCTGAATAATGATATTCTGAGAAAGGTTCACTTTTAATTAGATTTTGCCATATATACTGCTACAATATTCTGCAGCCCTTTGCAGAGGTATAGGAAGCACATAGGAAGTTAACAATACAGGACAAAAAGGAAACACATTTGTAAGAACGCTGCTTGCTAGAGTTAAAACTTTTTACATTTTTTAAATTAGGATTGGGAAAAGCAGAGTCAGCATCTCTACTTTACTTTTGATTAATGGTTAGAATTTCACTCCTGGACCTCCCACAGTTGAATGGCAGATACATAGTATACAGTATATAGCATGCATACAGTAAATCAACGTGAAAAATAACAGTAAGTAAAACCTATGACTTCCATATGTTGCATATGAATATGAATGTTGTTGCCACCTGTTTTCAGAAGCAAACTATACTATAGCCATAATCACTATATGATGACAAGCATAGGTGATGAGGATTCTCATGGTTTCGCATTACAATTCAGAACAACTGTACTCAAATGCACTAACCTATGACCTGAATATTGAATATGTTCTATAAAAACTCATAACACCCATGACAAATTGCCCTCCCTTTTGTACCTCTTCTAGTCCTCAGAGATTTATGATTGGTGTCTAGCAGAGATTAAAGCATGTTAGCACCATGCATACGTGCTGTATGCCGTCTCATACTATACAGGGCCTGTGAAAAAAATGTGTAAATGGATTACTTAGCTAGGCTTATGTAATGTAATACATGGCTCTATAGCTTCTTTAGACCATATCTACTCTACTGACTAGCCTCTGCTTTCATACTAAACGTAACCATGCAACTAGATATTGTTAGAAAAATGGAAAACACTACAAAATGTAACCTTAAAGTGAAGAACTATTGAATAAAGGGAGCATATATTTTAGAAAGAGCATTTAACATGGTCTTAAAGGAAACACAGGTTTATTTACTACAGTTGGGGAGTGCAAAATTAGCCTCCCTTCTGCATAGAAACCAATCAACTTTCAGTTTTTATTGTCATAACGTAATTGAAGAAGCTGAAGTTAGAAGCAGGGGCGTATTTGCCGCGAGGCAAACAAGGCATTTGCCTAGGGCGGCACTTTTCAGGGGGGCGGCACGGTGCAGCGCCACCCCCTCCTTTCCCACGGAAGGGACACTTCCGTGGGAAAGGGACAGGGGCTGCTGTGTCTTACCTGTGTCCGCGACTCCGTGTCCCACGTCGATCCGGTCCACAAGGCGCTGCTGGAGGAGGGGTGCAGAGGGTGTCCATCCAGTGTATTCATCTTCCTGGACCTTGATCGAGATGTGGGCGGGATGAGAAGCCGCCCCTCGAATATGGCCACACCCCTGGGATCACTGAGCAGCCTATCCCTCCCTCTGCAAGCTCCACCTCCTCGCCGATGATTGGCCGCCAAATCTGTAGCTCAGAAAAGGCACACAGGCGGCCAATCACAGGCGAGGAGGCGGAGCTTGGAGAGGAGGAGTTGAACGGCAGCACGAAGACTGAAGATCGAGTGAGGGAACAGCTGGAGCCGGTGAAGAGGAGGAGAGCGGCTGGAGAAGGAAGACAGCTAATGGGTAAGTGTCTGTGTCTGAAGGAGGGAACCCGGGCTGGAGCAGGGGTCAGCACAGCGATGTAAGTATAATTGGTGTCAGTGGAAGTAATAGTGCCCCATCATTAGTGTCAGTGTGGGAGGAATAGTGCCCCCTCATTGGTGCCACTGACACCAATGAGGGGGCACTTTTCCTCCCACTGACACCAATGATGGGGCACTATTCCTCCCACTGACACCAATGATGGGGCACTATTCCTATCACTGATACCAATGATGGGGCACTATGCCTCCCACTGACACCAATGATGGGGCACTATTTCTCACACTGACACCAATGATGGGGCACTATTCCTCCCCACTGACACCAATGATGGGGCACTTCCTTCCACTGACACCAATGATGGGGCACTATTCCTCCCACTGACACCAATGATGGGGCACTATTCCTCCAACTGACGCCAATGATGGGGCACTATTTTTCCCTACTGACACCAATGATGGGGCACTATTCCTCCCTACTGACACCAAAGATGGGGCACTATTCCTCCCACTGACACCAAGATGGGGCACTATTCCTCCCACTGACACCAATGATGGGGCACGTCCTCCCACTGATACCAATGATGGGGCACTATTCCTCCCCCTGACACCAATGATGGGGCACGATTCCTCCCCCTGACACCAATGATGGGGCACAATTCTTCCCACTACACCAATGACACCAATGATGGAGTGCAAAGCGAAAACAAAAAACAAGAAGCACATCAACCCTGTGCATTACCTCAGTAACCAAAATGTATTAAATACAAAATGATACTCACAAACCACAAAGTAAATCAAACATGTAAGTCCTCAAAGGAACTTGAAAGTTAGGAAGCCTGCACGAGTCCCATCATAGGGCTAGACACTCAGAGTACCACTGACGCGTTTCGAAGGGCATCCCTTCATCAGAGCAGCTCTCCTTTTTGTTTTTGCTTTGCAGTACTGGTTGGGCTTCCCCAGCCTTATTTGGAGCTGCACAACCCTATATGCACTGGTGGTCGAATCTTCCAGTTCTGGTTCCATCTATTCACCAGCCACCTGGGTCTCAGAGCGCAGGAGAGTTCGTTTTTGTTTTTTTGACTAATGCTGGAGTACTATTCCACACACTGACACTAATGATGGGGCACTATTCCTCACACACTGACACTAATGATGGGGCACTATTCCTCACACACTGACACTAATGATGGGGCACCATCATTGGTGTCATTGGGAAGAATAGTGTCCCATCATTAGTGTCAGTGTGAGGAATCGTGCCCCATCATTGGTGTCAGTGGGAGGAATAGCACCCCATTATTGTCAGGGGCGGAGCTCTAATAGGAAGAGATGGAGCCTAAAGAGGAAGGGGAGGAGTTTGCAGATGAAAAGGGTGGGGCACTTTTAGATGCCGGGGGTGCCCGATATTAGTCTCGCCTAGGGCAGCACAAAACCAAAATATACCACTGGTTAGAAGTTGATTGGCTACCGTGCACAGTCACACTAGATTCTGAGTGCACCAGTTTTAGTGAATCCCCCTATATTGTCTACTCTATATACTCTACCGTATTACTGCTCTTAAGTTTGTGATTTAATTACCTCCGCTGTGTTTTACATCAGCAGATGACATAGATGATCTAACATTATCACACTGGTGATGCCATTAATGAAATGTTTTATCCCTTTTGGGCCTCGTTCACAAGGGCATATACTACAATGAACACCCATGCAAGGGCCGTATTTACCTGTACAGGAATGTACAGATGTTCCATGCATGAGATGCATAGACACAGCTGCTTCTCCTAATCCTGTGCGGGTGCACCATCCCAAACAGAGACAATGTATGTTTGGGGCAAACTGGGAACATAGGTTATATCTGTGCAGCCACTACGTCCCAACTGACATGAATGGAACACTTGTTTATCCCCACGCTGGCTGGCTTTTAACAGGTAGGCTTTTATTAGATACTCCTTTTATGCCTGCAAGCAATTTTCTTCCTGTTGTACCCTGGGCCACACATGGGCAGCTCAGTGTACACTTTTGGTTTGCCATGGGTTCTAGGACAAAGTACCTACTGTATGTATGTGGAGGAGTCACATCATCCCAGTCTACCCAATGAAAATTGCCAGGAAAGGTTGTCAGCTGTGGAGATGGAGAAACAAGGAAGATCGGAGATGTCACATCACTGGAGAAGGACACTTTGGGTGGTAACTGTACCATAATATGGAAATATGCTGTGCATACTTTCACATTTTTGAGAGCCCTGGGGAACCTATACATTCAGCAGCACATTTAAAAAAATAACTCATGATTTATCAAACAGGTAATACACATTTGCAAGGCCATGTTGTAAATACGTGTAAATATATTATGGTAATAATTGTATGTACCTGCCGAGATGTGCTAAAGTCCTCAATATGCAAATGAGCACCTCCAACAAAAAAACTAGGATATTTAGTTGATGGCAAGAGTCATGGTTGCTCTCAAAACAGATGATGTAAGGATATTATGGAAATTTGGCAACCCTACCACCTCTAGTTCCTGGTATTTCATTAGTGGTGCTGAAAATCACACTTACTATTTGCACAGTACCTTCTAGTGGCTGAAGCAGGAATTTGTGTCTCTTGGGAAAGCATGGGAAGCCAGCTGTCATGTATTTTTGTATAATACAGACCTGCCTGTAGTATCATGCAGAGGAGGGGAGCCACACAAAAATGCTGCATGTTTGAATTTTGCATCTCAGCGACCAAGCTATGTGGATCCCAAAGACAGTAAGATTTCATTAAAACCAGCCACCGGTTCTGTGTTATCACACAAAACTGGTTGTTTCTCTGAAAAAGAGGACAGTTCTTACTTAAATGTAAAGAAAACCTAGATCCTTTTAAAAGTTTTGAAACAAAATGTACCAAAGACTACTTGCACCTAGGGAGCCATAATACATATTTTCACTGTCAGAAAAAGTAATGGAAAGCTTTCAAAAAGCAAAGGCTACTAAGTGTGAGGCAGCTGAGGATAGTGGAAAAGTAGGTGGATACAACTTGATTGCTATGAAATAGAACAAACACAAGAGCCACAGGTGCTTAAAGAAGAGTTTCAATGGAAATGAGTGATAGCAGACACCTTTTGTTATCTAGTCTAAGGCTGGCCATATTATACAATTATCTGGAGATTTTTGGTTTAGATTTACCAAAAACCATATAATAGGAGGACAAACCTAAACAACACTTTCAGTTGTATCCAATTAGGCAGGCCCTTGCACTACACAGTTGAACGGTAAATCTAAAGGAAATTGGGCAGAAAATTGGAAGATAATTGTATAATGTATGGCCAGCCTTAGGCAGAACTTTAACATCTTTGACAGAAGTTCTTTATTTGCCCAAACACAAGTTTACCCAGTTTTTAGTTAACTGAAATTTACAACTAAAAGTGCATGGGAATCAGGCACATGTACAGTAAAAATGTACATGTCCCTATGTTGATGGGGACAACAGCCTCATCCTGATTGCCATGTCTGGCACAGTAGATGTGGGAGTCACTGGTTGGAACTTATCAGAATCTGAAAGCCACCTTTCAAATAAGGGGGCCTCCATATATTTTCTCCTTGCCCTGTGGGAATGAGCTTCTGGTACATAGTACCCCTTGCTACTCATTCACTAGAAAAAAGTAAATGTAGTGTGAATAACAACAACCACACAGTAGAAAAAAAATCATTAAAGGGCAAGCTCACCTTTTCATGAAAAACAAAAAGGTGAACTAACGCCAAATATCCTGGTCATCCCTCTGGACCCCACTGCATAGATCGGCCACGATGCACCTTGCTGCCAGTGTAGCAGTCCATAAAACGTACACCACAATACACAGGCCTGGAGTATCTATCATAATGTTCACAATGGGAAGCTATGATTGGTCAGGACAGCCATGTGACTGCACTGAACAATGAGCACTTCCCTTTGCAAGTACTGTGACGGATACTCACTTTGGGGCTGTGTATTGCAGTGTTCGGACTGCTACACCAGCAGGAAGGGGCATCATGGACATGAATGGGTCAATGGGGGGATGCCCGCTGACTTAATTGCATTTCAAAAACAACCCCGCAGGCTGCCAGAAGCTTTCATTTATGGCCGAAGGGGACAAACTGGCAAACCTGGCCATTTGGTTGGCCTGTTTGGTGAACCATGAACAGTGTGGGTTCAGGTTGAGTTCAGCTATAGTTATAAACAGAACACCAAAATGCTTTGGAGGGGATGGTGGCTATTTTCTGCAAAGTATTAAATCCAATTTTAATAAAACAAAACAAAAAAAAAATAAATAAATAAATAAAAAAAGAAAAAAGAAAAGAAAAACTAACAGGAAACAGTCATATTTTAAAGGCTGAGCACCCTGTTACACAGTAATTATTGTCAACCCTGGCTAATATCAAGTAGGTTAATTATCAAAAAGTACTCATTAAAGGAATTAATTCTTTAAATTTCAACAGTTGTAAGACAAGAAGATAACACTCATTTTTTTCCTCAAGCTAATTGACACAATTGTTAAAGTAGGTCATTTTACAGAATCTTGGGGACACACTGATTGAGGCAGTAATGAGATTAGCACAGATTTACTTTTGTATCAGTTAAAATCAGTCCATGATTATTAACAAATGAGTGAACTGGTATGTGCCAGAGAGGGGAAAGAGTAGGTGGTCTACATACCCAGAAAAAATAATTATTTAAAGATGTTAGCACAACAATATCCTAAAGGCGGTAACATTTTTACATTTACTGTACAATACAATATTAATAAAATTTTAGTGGACCTGCGGAAAAACAGACCTTACATTTACTTTTAACTTAATTTACTTTATTGTTTTAATGTAAAAATGAAATTTACACTGACACTTGTGTACAGCTAAAAACTGTCATACAACCCACACTAAAATCTGAAATTCGGAAATCTCACCATGTTTACTAGAGAAACATTTACAGCAGGGATGTGCAATTCCTATAGCCCGATGCCTGGGACATGCAGTCCTGGGCGCCGGGCAAGAGTTTTTTCTTTACATTTAGACCTGGTGCGGGCAAGCAGTTGGCTCTCTTGTAAAAAAAAATCTGAATGGCTAACTAGCTATTGGATCGCTTTTGCAAGCAGCGGCATGGGACATTTCCCCTTCCATGTGCTGTCTCATCGCACCAGGACACCCGATCAATCATCTGGCGCTTCCACTGGCTGATCATAAAGGCAAACAAAGTCTGGAACCGCTCTGTTCGCCTCTATGATATAGAAAACAGGAAGCGATGAGCATACATACTTATGGCTTCTCCTATGTAAATGGTGCCATTTTTAAAAATAGGAGGCTTGATCGCAATGATTTAAGGGCAGAGGAGGGATCTGGGGTCTTATTGACACCAGATCGCTCGATAAACAGCACCTGTCACTGCCTATTGCTGTCACAAGGGATGTTTACATTCCTTGTGATAGCAATAAAAGTGATCAAAAAAGAAAAAAAAAATTAAAGCAAAAGTGTTAAAATAATAAAAAGTTTTAATTTTTTTTTAAAGCACCTCCGTGCCCGCTCACAAAGGCGAACACGCGTCAGTCCTGCACACACACAAACAGCAATCTGCCTACACATGGTGTATCACTGAGAACATCAGATCATGGTCAGTAATTCTAGCACCAGAAAACACAAAGGGCACCAACCTAACTGCAGTATGTATGAAAAGTTTTAGCTGTAATATAGCCAAATAGCTACTCACAAGAGCAATAAGATATACAGGCGTTGCAAATGTCCTCAAAGGGGCCAGTACAGGGGCTGGTGGTGTCAGGTAATGTCCGGGTCCCAGGAGTAAGGTGTGAAGTGAACTGTCAGCGACGGATGCCATGACAAACGCTGCAACCAGCGTGGAATGCACGGAAGTCCAGAACCAGAGGGAAACCATTGAAGAAGGTCTGAAGAAAAAGCGGAAGCTTTGAAACGTGTCAACTGACTAATCACCTGACCTGTTCTCGCTTCCCCATTGACAGTTAACTCCACATCTCACTCCTGGGACCCAGACATTACCTGACACCATCGGCTCCTGTACTGGCCCCCTCAAGGACATGTTCCAACGCCTGTATACCTTATTTCTCTTGTGAGTAGCTATTTGGTTATATTACAAACAGGGGCGGACTGACCATTTGGAAACTCGGGCACTGCCCGAGGGCCGGGGTCAGTAGGGGGCC